GCGCTCTTGGGGTCCCCCTTGTCACCTGGGGGGGGGAAAGCATGGTGAGGGGATCCCCAAAATCCTCCTCAAAAGGATGGGAGATCCCTGGGCCACCGCAATTTCCCCTATATGAAAACCAATTCCCCCATACGAACACCCCAATTCCATCCCTTATATGGACACCCCAATTCCCCTTCATTCCCTTTGGGGGTGCCCTGAGACCCCCAAATCCCTGCCAGAAGCACGGTGGGTACCCAGAGCATGGAGCAGCACACCCCAAACCCAGTACCACGTATACCCCGCTCCTCCCTCTCCACTGCAAACTCCCCTGGGGGTGTCCATCCCTGACCCTGTCCCTTCCAATTCTTTGTCAGAGGCATAGTGGGTTCCCAGGGCATTGAACTGGGCACCCCAAATCCAGTTTCATGTGCATCCCGCTCCTCCTCCTGCACCCTAAACATCCTGGCGGTGTTCAACCCCCGTCCTGGGGGTCCCCTGAGCCCCCTGACCCCTGTCAGAGGCACAGTGGGCACCCAGAGCATGGAGAAGGACACCCCAAACCCAGTTCCACATGCACCCCATTCCTCCCCTTGCACCCCAAACCCCCCTGGGGGTGACCCCTGAGCCCCCCAAGCCCCCCCAGCCCCCTGTACCCTCGTCGGGGGCGTGGTAGGCCGCCAGGGCATTGAGCATGTCATAGATGACATCACGAATGGGCTCGGGGATGGGCGGCAGCGCGGCCGCTTTGGCCGGAGTGGTCTTGACCAGCTGCACCGCGTTGGGGCCCTTGATGCGCAGGTTTTCGAACTCATCGTCCGAGGCTGGGAAATGGAAAATGGGGAAAAACTGGGGGTCAGAGCCTTGGGAGCCTCCCCAGAGATGTGGGACCCCCACACTGGGGCCAAGGAGGAGAAGGGACCCCACTTTTGTGGTACGAAGCAACCTTGGGACCCCCATTTTCAGAGGAGAAGGATCTCTGGGACCCTGGTATTGGGGTTAAAGAGAGCTCAGGACCCCCATTTTGGGGTTAAAGGGACCCCATAGGAGCCACAGACAGCCCTGGGACCTCATGCTAGGAGCCAGGGACCCCCCAGGAGCCCTTTCCAGGTTCCAGCCCCCTCTCCAGGAGCTCATCCCAGGATCTGGGGTCCCATGACCCCTCCAGAAGTCCCCTCAGGGTACCCAAGGCCCCTGTGAAAACCCCATTCTGAGTTCCAGAACCCACTCTGGGTCCCACCCCTCTCCTGGGTCCCGGGACCTCTGTGAGAGCTCCCTCCCAGGTCCCAGGAACCCCCCCGGAGGAACCGCTGGTGCCAGGACCCTCCCCAGGACCCCCCCATGGCACCAGGGTCCCCTCCAGGAGTCTGTCCCAGGTACTGAGACCCTCCCCAGGATCCCCCCAGGGTAGTAGGGCCCCGTCCCCATCCCCGTGCCCCCTTACCAGTGCCAGAGCCGCGCGGGGCGGGCAGGGCGATGCGGATGCAGCCCGTGGCCACCTCGGTGAACACGTTGGGGCTGCGGCARGCGGCCGGGCCCAGCACCCGCAGGATGTAATTGACCTCACGGGAGCCCAGGCTGCCGGACACCACCCCAGACGTGGTGCTGCCCGCCCCGCTCGTGGCCGCTGACCGCACCACCTGGGTGAAGGGATGGACACGGGCTGGGGACGGGGGCCGGAGGGGAAGCCCCAGGCCAGTCCT